AAGAGTTCACCTCTCTGAAAAACCTTGCCTCATTTACTTCCCTGGATCATATTAGCTCCTGCTGCTGAAAAAGTCAAATACTTGATCACAAGACAGGGCAGATGGTTGCACGGAGTTGTTCTGTGCTTTTGTGAGAAGTGCTAGCTTTTGGTCAGCTACTCTTAATTTTGCACAGTTAAAACCGGTTTACGACCTGCTCTTGATATTTTACATTGCATTTACTTCTGAGCTTTTCTTACTGTAGGGAGAAATAAGCAGTTTTACTTACAGGTTTCTCTTCTTCTAATGAGAATAGTAGGGGAAGGTCTAAAGCAATGGTCTTCTGGAAATTCCCTGCTTTGAAAAAATTCAAGTTCAGTCAAATTTGTGTGGTGGTACCATTCATGCTTTTTTAGTTTGGTGCTATGAAGATTTGAGGCATGTCATGTTCTGTTCATCTGGGTCTTCATAATCTAGAAACTTCTGAACGTATCTGGTAATTTGGTCATACTTGATGGGTGAGATGCTCTCCAATGTAATGAAGCCTGACCAGTTTCATGAAAGTAGCTGAGCAGAGTTCAGTAGTTTGTGGAGCAGAGTGATGGAGGGAACTTCCTGATGCCTCTGTGGAGGGAAGGGCTACACCTCAGGCTTGGCGCTAACTAGAAACCACAGAATCCCAGGGAAGGCTGACATGGCAGACACCTCGGTCATGGGAAACCTTTGGGCGGTGCCGTCCTCTTTTGAGACATGAGGGGATCAAACTATGAAACCAGGCATCTGTCTGATTCCCTGGCTGCCTGATTTCGTTTGTCTTTGTTATTAAGTTTGCTGTTCCCATCAAGCTACCAGGTGTTTATGTATGTGTTCTCTCTGTGTTTTGTTTTAGAAACCCAAGCACCCAACAACAGGGCTGATTGCCATTACACTAGCATTTCACATATGCCACGAAGTCCACCTGGCAGGCTTCAAGTATGACTTCTCTGACAGAAACAGTTCTTTGCACTACTATGGGAACGAAACCATGTCTCAGATGATCCAGGTAACTCTTAACGTGTTTGTGCTGAGAGAATTATAGCTGGTGACTGGGGAAGGCAACTTCATATAGATAAGAAGTGTGGACTGCAGGTCAGAAAGCCTCCTGCCTTCTCCTAGTTCAGCTGCTTGTGGGTTAACATTGCTTGACACTCCTCCTCTGCTTTTGTTTTTGAAGAACGTAGATAATGATATTTGTGTTCCTTGTGCTGCACCATATTCTGCAGTGTCTGCATGAGATATGTCCATTTGTGTTCACTTTGCTTTGCTGGTGTCCTTACGCTGTCCTTACGCTGCACAGCTCGTGTCATAGAGATGTCTTCGTTAGCACTGTCAGAATGTGAGTGGTGGTGTTTCTGTTTGCATTCTCTTTTTCCTTGGCACCTGCTTGCACAGTTTGTCATAGCTACCAAACCCCTTAGAAGACAGAAGGAAGAGCAAAGGGAAATGGAAGGAGGTAAGACCTGCGGAACTTGCAGTTAGGAAGAGAACTGAATTTTGGAAATGGAAAGCAGAAAAGAAAAGCAGCTCTTGGAGGAGATTAGGAAGAGAAGGAACCGCTTCCAGAATGGGGAAGCCACAGTTTAACAGGAGAGGAAGCAGCAGGAGACTGGCAAACATCAGGGATGCCTTCTCTCTTCCCTGCTGTTTAGCTATGGTCATGCCTCTGTTTTCTTTTATGTCTCTACTCTTGTCTTCAGTTGCCTTTGGCTCTGTGTTCCCAGCAACCCATCTCAGCCCTTCACCTCAGTGTGAAGTTTTCCATTTGCCCAGAGCACGAGGGCACTATTTTCCTCTTTTTCCTTTTCCTGAAGAGGATGGATAGGGACAGTGCCTTTAAGAGCCTCTCATGTCTCTCTCAGGACTCCTAGATGCCTGCTGTTCTGAGATAATTTTCCTCTAACACTGAACTCACCTTCATTTTGTGGCTCCTCTCTGCATGTGCTGTTTTGCAGTGTATACTAAACTTGAGTAAGGTTGATCATTAGTTGCATAGACATCCATAAGTTTCCTAAAAGCTTTAAACTTCAAAAAACTACTAAACAAAAATCTTACTGTTAATTCTTCAGTGTCATTAAGTTGCAAATATTATACCACATATGTATAGTATTTTATGTAGTATTTTTATTATATTCATTTTAATTTACTGGATTCGGTGCCTGAGTAAATTTACTTTCCTTGTGCTGCCCTCCACTAACCTCAGTGGTCTCCTGTGTGTCCAGGATCTGGGTACAGCACAGAAGATGGGTTGTTTTTGGCTTGCTGAAACTGATCGGCAGGATGCATCTGATGTGCTTTTCAAGAACCTGCAATGAGTTTTGAGAATTACTAGTGTTCTCACTGCTTGTGCTGTCAATGTGGTCACTCAGTTGTTCTCTCTAAGCAGAGTGAGGAGTTGAGAGAGTTAATAAAGGAAGGAATTCTCTGAGACCACATCTCACCCATTCTTGCCACCAAAGGATCATCCTTTTTGGTTGTGTCCTAATGGAAAAATCTAATGTAGTTTTGAGCAATAATTCCTTGTTTCCTTGAGAGACTGTGCTAAGCCTTTGCTAAGAAGTCTTTTCCCCAGAACTTTCCTACTCTTAGCATCTTCCAAGTATCACAGGTAATAGAAAGAAGATAACAGTGAAGTGGTGCTTCTGGTTATAATTTGATATTTATTTTTTTTCATTATTTCCTCACATCTTTTCAGAATGAATATCACAACATCAGTGCTGAGCAGACATTCTTGAAGAAGCTTATAGACAAGAACTTTGTGGTCAATTTGACGTGAAAGCTGAATGGAAAATACAAAGAAGAATCACTATTTTCAAGATTTGAAAAATTTTTATTTTTTGTATGACATTTTTATTTTTTAAGTGCAGCATAACTGTTTACTGTTTAAAAGGAGCCCAGAAACCTCACCAAGGCAGAAGCTTCTTCTAAGCCTGAGGGTAATGGACTGCTGCAAACAGACTCAATTGAATTTCTGTGAAGCTATTTAATAGTGGGAAAACCATGAAACTTTCAGCTGGAAGTATCAGGGATATAAAAAATGTGATGAACGTCACTTATTTATCAGTGAGAACTCTTTCCAAATGATTGATGCCCTTCAAAAGGGTTCCACTGTCAAGAGACTGAGATGACCAGTGTTTAATTAGTGGATGGATGTAAAGTATTGAATATCTGTCTTGTAGTGTGGAAATGGCTTTAAAACTATGCCTATAAATAATTACTGTACGTTTTGGAGAAGGGTGGACATGCAGAGTGTACAGGTTTTGGTCTGCTGTACTCCTGAGGAGAGGACATCCACTGTCAGCAAAGAAGGCACGCGCAGCTTGTGCGCTGCCCATCGACTCTGAATTGCTGATTGCCTTCACCGAAGGTGACGACCCTTTGGTCCAGTTTGTGGAGATATTGATCTTACAATGCTTGTATTGTACCCGTTTTACAGAAGAATCATATTCCCTGTGCTGTGCATCCGGTAAATGTTACAGTTGCTGACTTGACTTACAAAAGAGGGAGTATGAAGACCGAAGAGTTGCTCGAACTACCCGTGTGTCAGGCAACAGACCACAATGGAAATGTGAACTGGGACAGATGTTCACGCCTGAGTTTAGAGTCAATGCTTGTTGGATTCCTAGGTCTCCAGAACAGGATGTCATGTATTTTTCTGTTTGCTCCCCAAGAACTGAGGTGGATTTTTCCAAATGAGCACAATCTCCTTCTTTGGATACTATAATGCATTTCCACCTTTGAAATGCATCAATACTCCTGTGCATGAATACTTCCATTTTTGGCAGTAGGGTGTGGTAAGGAATATCCAAGATGTACCTCAGCTGAATTATCATTTGGCATCTGTTTACCTCTCCTGTCCTGACATCTAGGTTCAAAGTATGTGGCTGAACTAAATTATTTAGCAGTGGGAATTTACTGATATTAATTGAAACATTTAATGGGATGTTTATGTTTTCTGTATTGGCTTGTCTCTGACAAGCCTGCTGAATAAATTAAGTCTACATGGGAATGCACTTGACAGTTGTCAAAGAACAACAAGTAGTGTGCTGTTCTAATT